CATCACACGCAGCTTCGCCCGTGGATAACTGCACCGTCCTACCTGCGCCGGCTCGAGGAGGTGCGAGAAGATGGAGAGGGCAGAGGCTGCAGCATGCACCCTCCTCTACCGGCCGGTGGGGTGCTGACTTCTGTTGGCTCAGCGGGCGAGCGGCGTCTTCCAGGCATCTTGAAGAACACTCGTCGGGCCCAGGATCGGTCCCAGCAAACGACGCCTCCTCGTGTGAGCAGCAGTGCCCAACAGACGACGCCTCCTCCTCGTGTGAGCAGCAGTGCCCAACAGACGACGCCTCCTCCCAAGAACGACGGCGCTCAGCTGGCTGTCTCCCGCCCACCGGCTAGCGCTCCTCAACAGAGGACTCGCGCGACCTCAGCGGCTAAGCGGACTGTGAGGTTTGATGACGTGGGCCGGGAGATACCCAGGCGGTCGGGCCGTGTCAGAGAAGCGCCAGATAGGTGGGGCTATAGTTAGAATGTCGTGTGTGATTCTTCTTGTTTTTGTTTTGTTGTTTTCCTTGTGCTGCCGGCAGTAGCCGACCCAGCTGATCCAGCTGCTGCTGCCTCCCTCTGACGTGCTCTTCGACTGGTTGTCGAGCACGCGCCTGTTGGTTTCTCCGCGTGCGCGGTGGACGTGACGCGTCACCCCACCGTATAATCGATGAAGCAGACGACCGCCTTCATCGTCACGGTGGCCGAGCTCGTCCTCAAGTTGTGTTGTGTTTTGGTATATGGCATAGGCGTTTTGTATCAGCGTGAGCGTAATGACGTGTTGGAAGAGGTTATGTGAATTGGCGCTGTTATGCTGTTATAACGGTGATTCTTGTGTTTTGGTCATAGCGGTGATCCTTGTGTTTTGATGTGGGCGAGATGCTAAAGGGGGGAGATGTGGACGTGTGGTATTGGAATTTGCATCTCGCTTGTGTGCTCGGGTGGCCGGCCGCGAGCTGGCGGCGCCTCGGCTCGCCGGGCGGCCGGCCTGCCCTGGGGCGGTGCGGGCCGCTCGGCGGGTCGGGCGGCGGGCGGCGCGGGGAGTCGGTTGCGGGGCTCGGTGGAAGGTGGACGGTGAATACAGGCGTGGAACGGCTACATGTTTTGACGGTGAATGAAGACGGCGAACGGCTACAATGCGACTCAGAAATGATTAGGGAATGCTATGATATGGTGCACTAACGGGCACACACTGTGTGTGAAGTGCTGTAGGTGAATTGAAAGCAAATATTTTTGGTTAAAAACTGCGGTTGCAACATGATTACAAATAGTTAGCTCACCGCCAAACCAAAATAGATACGGCTTTTTAAGACATGGCATTAGAAGCAGCAGGTTTCGGAGATCATTTTCATGTATAATTTTTGCAGTTTGTATTACATGAACGCACGCTAGCGGCACTTGAATTTCCAGTACCTGACAGTCATTTTACGACATCGAAAATGTCTCGACTTCTGACAATCATACACGAGGCCGGTTTTGACAAAAACATTAAAATCATACTTTGTCAGACGCCCCAAACATTTGCCTGCCTGATCATATTACGATTTATTCGATTAAGTGAACTTGAATTTTGGGCCTTTTTCGTATTTATGGCCACTCGTGAACCCCATTTGCATCACTGTGCGGTCGGTCTCTTGTTCTTGGCGTCATTTACCGGCCTCCAGACAGCTCCGTTACAGACTTCCTGGACTCCCTCAGAACTCAACTACAAGAAGCACGATCGAAAGGACAGCCAGTGGTCCTGCTCGGGGACATGAACATCGATCTATCCACCAGAGATGGCGCTGGGGTAATAAGATATGAGCAGCTTCTGGCTGAGCTCAACCTCAATCAACTGGTTAAAGAGCCAACACATCTGTTTCCACGTCCGTCAATTCTCGACCACATTATAACCAGTCTGCCAGATCTCCATGCAGCTGTCAGCGTATTAGACGACTCACTCAGTGATCATCAGCCGGTGACGTGTGTCGTGAAAATACCCAAACCGCGGAAAAAATCAAGGACTCTTCATACCAGGCGTTGGCACAAAACGGACTGGAACGCAGTTTGTCTGGATCTTTTGCTAGCGGACTGGAGTGAGATGTTAGAGACCGCTGATGTCAATAGCAAGCTTGAAAAATTCATGCGCGTCTGGAACGAGGTCATAGACCGGCACTGTCCCATGGAAAATGTACGCACAAATAGAAAACGTGGCTGTCCATGGCTCTCCAGTGAACTGCGTGACCTGATGACGAAGCGAGACCAAGCTAAAAAGGACTGGCTGAACCTCCGCACCGCAGATCGACACGTGACCTTCAGAAGACTTCACAACAGTGTTAAAAGCAAATTAGCACGTGCACGGAAAGACTTTCTATGTAACGAATTAATGCGCAAGAACTTCAGTGGCTTTTGGAAGAAGTTTAATCAGTATGTAAAAAACACGAGCGGCAACTGTCTAGATAACAACCTTGATTCAAAACAGGCCGACATGTTTAATGCGTATTTTGCGAATGTAGGCTCTAACATTGCAGCAGAACTCTTACCTCGCAGACAGGATGACACGTACGACATCGTGAGATCTCGTATGTCGATCCCCAGATACGTCCCCCTGTGGTGTGTGCCACAAGCTTTGAGCTTCAGCCCGCTACTCTACCTGAGCTGTCAACAGCGGTGCGTCTGATGAGCAATTCGAAAGCTGTCGGACTGGATGGAGTCCCCATCCTGGCCATTCGTCGTTGTTTTGCTGTGATCGGTCCGCTGCTCCTTCATATCATTAACACTTCAATATCAAGCGGCATATTTCCAGAAAAGTGGAAAATAGCGTGTGTAGTTCCTTTACATAAGAATGGTGATCACAGTCGCGCTAGCAACTATCGTCCAATTTCACTTCTGCCAGTCATGTCGAAAATCACTGAGCGTGTCGTGTGCAACCAATTAACCCACTATCTCAAAGAAAATGACTTACTAGGTAACAGCCAGTACGCTTACCGCAAGGGCCATTCAACGGAAGACGCCATCCTCGAGACCATTGCCTGGACTACTGATCAAATCGATAGGGGCCACATTGCTTCAATAACAGCAATAGACCTGAGCAAAGCGTTCGACAGCGTCAATCATGAAATTCTTTTGATGAAACTAGCGTGGCACGGCGTCCCATCACACTGGTTCAAAAGTTATCTGAGCGGTCGTGGTCAAATGGTTCGAGGTGGTTCTGAGGTTCTTCCCGTGAAATTCGGTGTCCCACAAGGATCAATCCTGGGACCTGTTCTCTTCAGTCTAGTCACTGCTGACCTACAAAATTGTATACCTCATGGCCGCGTTATATGCTATGCAGATGACACTCAGCTTTTGGACAGCTCGCCGACAGACAGCGAAAGTCTCATCCAGTTCAAAAGGCGTTTGGAATCTTCCATGGCCTCAGTGCAGACATGGTTCACTACCAACTCATTTAAAATGAACGTAGCCAAAACTGATTTCATTCTTATAGGCACATCATCAGCTTTGCAGAGAGTCTCTGATTTCAAACTTGACTTCTGTGAAAGTTCGCTTGAACCTTCAGACAACATTAAAGTATTGGGAGTGAAAATAGACCAAACGTTATCCTGGCAAAAACACGTTACAGAAGTTTTACGACGCTGCTACTCTATTCTATCGTCCTTAAACAGGTTCCGGTGTCACTTTTCTGCTGAGGCTCTTATTCTCATTATCCAGGCACACGTCTTTTCCCAGATATTGTACTGCTTGCCAGTTTGGGGTGGGGCCTGCAAAAACCAAATATCTCGCGTTCAGAAAGTAATAAACTTCGCAGTCCGTGTAGTAACCGGAACACGCCGCCATGAGCACATTACACCCACCCTAAGTGCGCTTCAGTGGCCAACAATTGAAGAGCTCATCAAGGAGCGTGATTGTTTAAAAGTATTTCGCGCTTTGAATAACTGCGACGCCCCCAAAGCTCTAAAAAGGATGTTTCACCAAAGATCAGACATAACCACTCGAGTGACCCGCCTGGCATGTACCAATCGGCTCCACCTTCCAAAAGTGCGTCTGTCTATTACACAACGATCTTTCCCGTACAGAGCCGCAACTGAATGGAATCGACTTCCAATAGAAACTACACAAACAGCGTCAGAAAAAGAATTCAGGAAAAAACTTAGGTGCAAAAACGCGTGAACCATACCAGCTCACTTGCTCAGGGATAGTATCACGGATCGCGTTTACTGTGTAATGTGTAGTGTGTACTCTGTGCCTTGCTGTGCGCCATGTAGTGTATGTTACCGTACGTTGGCACCTTGCCGTGTACATCTGTGTGGAAATTTGTGTTTACATTACTGCCGTGTACACTGCCATGTTTAAAATGTCCTGAAAAACTGTGGGAACACGGACGGACATTTAATGTTAATACAACAATTGTTAATACAAATATTTCAAACCATAAATAATGTTCGACAGCCAAATAAAAGAAACAGTACCAATACGGGCTTACAGTTTAAGGCTCGACATTGTGTTGTCTACGATTAGACAGCTGATAACTCATTCCCGTACGTCGTATGGTCGTAACACTATAATGACCTTTGCTTATTGTCACAAGTGCGCCGCATTCGCGATTGTTGCCCGACGCCTGTTTGCAGGTGAGCCCACTACAGTTGTTATACATATCTAAAAACCGATAAACTTTTAGGCGAAAAAGGCACTATTCCAGGCCCATTTTTTATTTTTTTGCGATATTAGGTAAAAACAGAAGCTTCTTATCCTAGGAAAAATAAAATGGGAAATCTTTCAAAGGTGGCACACTACCTTTAAATAAGAACAGGCGCCTAGTTTATACCAGGACAATTAACATTCTAAGCACATATGAAGTACGCTAAACACCATTGACACGAACAACGATAGCAAAGAAGCAATGTCAAAGCAAAATATCGATTTTTTTTCGAAAAAGCTATCATACAGGACGACACAGTGCAGATGTAAGTTGGACCTATGTTTGCCCTAAACTATTCCTCTCTTCTAATAAATACATCCACAGCTATTGCTCACCTCCATTGGCGTTTTCGTAGACATTGGCCGTGTAGGCCGGGTCGGAGAACTTGGGCGGCTGGTTGGCGCTGACCAGAACGGTCGCAGAGGCCGCACGATGGCTGTGCTCTGCAACAAGTGCCACACAGGTCACGAGATGCGACTGATTGGCGCAGTGAAGTTTAAATGAAACATCAACGGCAAGGGAGCATAGTGCAAACATATTACAAGTTATTATATTCAAAAGACTAAAACAGAATGCATTGCATAAGAGCACGCCTCAGGATACGAACGGTCTCAACCTGCAATGTGTTTCGTTTCAAGTTTGAGAGTCATATCACAATACCAAAACATATATCAATGTTAGCAGTGCCAAGTCATCTGGTAACAGCTAATAAAGCAGCAATGACCTCTATGATCCACGGTCCGTAAGCGACCACCATCCGTTGACCCGGTGACCTGAGCCGCGTCTCTATTCTCAACTGACCTGGGTTGACGGCGAGTACGGTGAAGTTGAGCAGGCCGCCCTGCATCAGCTGACGACCGTTGGTGTTGGTGTACACATTGCCATCGTCGTCAATCCGAAACAGCCGCGGGTTGTCCACGCTGTACCGAATGTTGGCAGGACCGGTCGCCACCACCTGGCGGCAGAAGAGAGAAACAGTGGTGAGATTCGGGGCCGCTAGGGGTAAGAAGCCAGCGCGACAGGAGCTGCAGCAATGGATCAAAGGCCGTCAAAGCAGGCCCATGGTTATCCGTATGAGGCTTGCCGCTTGGGGTAGAGATAATATTCTGGGCCTTGACAAAAGCAACACAGCTGGCAGCCTCATATCATGTCTTGATTCATCCCTTATAAGTCATAGCAGCACAACAAACATGAATGAAAATTTAATCATTCTATTCTGGGAACTTCCTTCAGCAATATGCAGCTAGATATGGTGTATTTATTATGGAACAATGTCAGATACAGAGTGATAACACAATATTTACTGGACAGACCGCGCAACTTATCTAAAATAAAGAGAAAATAAGGATGCGATATGAGACCCTACGGGCAAGACCTCGACCCCGCAAACCCCGCTTAGTCTGCATGACAAGGTAGCGTAGAAGTAAGGTCTTAATGACAAGGTAGCGATTCTAGTCATTCGTCACAGGCCGTAATCAAGGGATGAAACGAGGCGGGACCCGAGCACTTCCCCATGCATCTGACGGGACGTTGGAACTCAGCAAACCCTCAAATGCATGACGTCATGCAGCTGGGCACTAGCAGGCCAGCTTCCGTGTGGCTTCCATATGAAAGCAGTGTGCCCAGGGCATGATGAATAACGACCTCCTCGCATAACGGGAGGTGTGAGCTCATCTCTGCCGGCGCCGGATGAAAGGATCCCGTGCCGCGGCCATTCCAGCCGCCCAGTGGGTTGTCCAGGGCTGCGTAAAAAGGCCACCCGATGGCCGGCATTTCTAATGGATGACGGCGGCGAAATGGGCACATCACCGCCACTGAGTTGGTGGTGATCTGTCAGATGCGCCACGACTGGTGACAGTGGTGATACGGGGCCATCACCGACTGGTGATGGTGACGGGGAGGTCACTGCAGCTGGTGAATGTGATTATCTCCCACGTTACACTGAAATGCGCTTTAACCAACACCACATATGACATCTGGTCGTCATAAGCACAGCTGGTACGCATTTGCCACAGGCCGGCTTCCAGACTATGCACACCAATGTGACTCATCAGTCAAGACGCGGCCAAGAAAGCTTTCTCGTACCACGCCTGGTTCCAGTTAACTTCCCCCCGCTCATCCGAGTTGCCTGCACCTAAATCTGGCTCTGAAGAGGGATGAAGGCTCATCCCCTCTACCATGTGTTGCAAGGTCAGACACCTAGAAACCCAGACAGCCAGACAGCAGACAACAGACAGCAGACAGGCAGCTCGTCCGGGCCTTAGGTGCAGATTTCCCCTCTGCAGCGCAGAAGGGAGGGGAGGGCGGGGTGCGGCGAAGGTGGTCGTCATTTATCGTGAGTCGTGACTGTGAGCGACCCGGGGGCCGCCCAACGGCCTTCAAGGGCGAGGGAGGGAGAAAGAGACGCAGAGAGGGTAGGAGCTGGAGGAATTATTCAGTTAGTGTGCGACCCACCCAGCAACCAAGAATCGTTCCTGGCTTGAACAGTTGGTGCCGACGCATTTAACATTGTAAACTTTTTCTACTATCATGGGCAGATTGAAATAATAAGTACGCAAAAACACTATGATTGAGCATCGCATTCATTAAACCGTCTAGCAAAATGTGCCCAAACTGCACCATGTTAGCTCATTTTACAGCAGCGGCAATTGACACCAAAGGAATCTTGCTTTGCCAGCTGTTTTCGGCACATTTGAGAGGTGCCGCCTGTCCAGCCGAACAGCTTATTCTACGCTACTGCGCCTCTCTGCCTGCAGCCGTCCCCCTCCCCCCCCCCCCTTCCCCGCCGCTGCACCGGTCAGTGTCAAGGCGGACCGCTCTCGCCTCACGGCCGTGATAGAGTATCAATAGGCCGGCCGAAAGGTGCAGCCCGGGTCATGGGGGACCCGGCGGCAGCACCCCGTCACGGTCCAGTACCAGCCGGGCAGACTGCCAACAGTGCAGCGACCGGTTCTCCGCATATGGAGACACTCGGCCACCGTGCAACTGTGCAGTAGCGGCCGGTCCCTGTTCTTTCTCTTTCATGCATGAGTGCTGTTTCCCTTTCATTTACTATTACTTGCAGTTGGGCAGTTAGCCAAGAGACATTGTCAATGGTTTGGGCAGTTGAAATAAAACCGAAAAGGAATGAATACGTTTTGATGCACAAAATATCGAGTAAAACACACATTGGAATGGGTCGGGGACAAAAATAAGCTGGGTCACCGGCGCCACTTCAGGCGCCCTATGGCTAAGCCTGTCACCACCACCGATCCTTATTAACCCTGCCCCATCCCTCGCCCCTTGATCGCTCCATAGCAACTGCCATGGGCTCTCCGCCGCGCCGGCCGCCACGTTCCGGCATCCTTCAGAGGTCGTCTACCACCGAGGTGAGCCCTCCACGAGCCACCGCCACCCCCAGCGGCGCCGGGCGACGCCAATTTAATGCAGCCGGTAATTTATCCACCGAATCCATTTGCGCCCAACCGCACAGTGTGTGTAAATCGCCCCGACGACGGCGAAAACAGCAGCCGAGACGGCCGCTCCGCAATCGGCCGCACAGTGTGCCTGTGGCCGTTGTAAATTGGCCAAACATTGTGATGGCTGTCGGGCGGCGCGCCGCGCCCGAAATCGGCGAGTAATTTGCCGCTCTGCCATCGGCGCGGTGACAAAAACACCTGTAAAAAGTCATCAGTGTGTGCCGCGACGGCGTCGGCAGCGTCGACGCACAAACACGACCGTCGTAACACCGATACGGCCGGCGACGCATGTAAACGACGCGCCGCGAGTGTCGTCAACGACGACCCGCGCCGTTAACGTCGGCACTGCGTCAGCGCTGTCGACCAGTGTTCGCCACGGGCCGGGCCAGCCCAACGGGCCATGGGCCGGGCTGGGCTACGGGCTGGGCCGGGCCCCCAAATATCATTAGTTAACGGGCTATGGACGGGCCGGGCCAAGAGCTTTGTGCACTATGGGTTTTGCGACTAATGTCAATTTAAGAAAATTTGGAAACTGATGCAAACAAAACCCACTGGGAAAATACAAAAACTAAACCAAATTTAAGCAATGTGAAAGAAAACCTACTTGATATTGAATTTTGGGAATCTTGAGAATTATCCAATATCACATCATGTCACACATAGGAGGGTTTTCATACAAATTCCGCAACCAAAAAGATCAGAGAATCTCTAGCATCATTAGTTTGTTAATAAAAGTTAAAATGTAGCCATCAGAATAACTTACTTAGCACTAAAACTCCAAAAACTAAGAAGCCACTCAACAATGATGGGCTACAGGGCTACATTAAGTTTAACAGTTAACACTTATATATGGCGATAGTGAGACAATTCCAACACAGTCTTTTTTCCTTCACCGACGGCTTTTTAACGAACAGAACCTTAAAAGGATACTCACAAAACACACTGTACGTAACGAGGAACTCTACAGAGTATTTCGCGATGAAAGCTTCTTTAAATGTCCATAAATTTGTCAAAATAAATCACAACAAACCAGCGCCTTCTCAACAAAACTTGCAATCATGGCGGCGGCGCTATGTTTATGTGGCGGCATCTAGGTAGTATACACAACAGTATATCAAATAAATACGTTTTTTTAGTAAGTATCAAGGTGAAAACAAAATTAAACAAATAAAAAATAAAACCTAAATCACGAAGTCTGAAAGCTCGAACGAAAAACAAAACAAAAACTTGATCATATATGTTTTATTATACAGTTGGTCAGGATCGCTACCTGCCGCAGATGCGACAATCAAGAAGTGTTCGCTCATTTTCGATTGAGGATGATGATGCGTAAAAGTCGCAAAAGTACCCAATGAAATTTCAAGCTTACCATGTTTTCTGCTTACGCTGCTAGCGATATCCATATCTTGAAAAGAGCCTAACATAAAATAGCAAGGAAAGTAGCAGATAGTTGTCCACAGAGATTCGGTTGACACGTGGGCATGAATTGAAAATAGATTAAATCAGTTTTGCTGATAAATGGATGGATTTTCTCTTTTTTTGGAAGACATTGCTTAAGTGAGTGTCACCTTTTTTGTATGCTTTCTCAGGCTTTTGATATTGCAGCATCTATGGAGTGAATTTAACAGCAAGGTCAATCCCAGACAGATTCATCAATTCCCATAAGTCAAGCTTTTTTTCTGCTGGTAAGTGCTGGGAAGCATAGAGTATGTTGCAAATTCTTCCTTCAAGTATGCATTAGAGTCACCAATTATGAATGATAATGTTCACACACATCAGCTTGCAAGATAACTTTACTCATAGAATGTAGTTAATATAATCATGTAAACTTTTTATAGGTGTGTAATCATGACCTAATTGACTGAGGTGCTTGCTGTTACTGTTAAAATTTGTGCCATAGGTGCTTGAAATGATTATATTCATTGAAAAGAAGGGAGTCATGATTGCCATGTTAATATTCATGCAGTTTGAATTGTTCTCAAAATAGTGTAATCAATCATGCTTATTATAGCAATAGACTAAGACAATAACTAGATTGCTATTTTTGACGGGCCGGGCCGGGCTGGGCTTGGAATATTTGCCAAGAGCGGGCTACGGGCTGGGCCGGGCTCTGAACCCATGGGCCCGGGCCGGGCTGGGCTGGGGATTTTGGGGCCCGTGGCGAACACTGCTGTCGACCCCTCGCCGGAGGCACAGGTATATCCATTATACGCAATAGCGCAAACGTTGAGCTTCGATGAACAAGTTGAAACATTCGCGCTGCTGTTTGACTCTGAAACTTTGACACCTTTGCTGTTGGGCGTCGAAAACTAAGCGGCAAGCAGTTGGCAAATCGCCACCCGAATGACATTTTGGGGGAAATTATAGATAATGAAATAAAAATGCCTCATAAAGCCCACTGAATAGCCAGCTGAAGGTCAGCTGTAGTGGGGAGTGAAATAACGATGTCTTTATTAAATGTCAGACACTGGTTCTCAATTATTTGACGCCTTATTGC